CAAACCATAATGCCCCTCGGAAGCACACAAAGAAGGGATTTTAGGCCAATGCTTAGCTGGATGTGTTGTTAACCAGGTACACGTTTTTCCCTCATGTGGATATACTACATGATCAAACCATTATGCACAGGGACATTATGTACCAATTTAATTTGTCTAATGTTTTCCTATATGTAACTTCTTCCCTTTCGAGGCCATAGTTACTGCAGAAGCATCTCTTGGCTGTACGCTGAGTTGTGCATGAACAACGATGCTTGCTCATACAATTATTACCCTTTTTGTTCATGGAAAATAGGATGAGTTGAATGCTTCTTATTTTTTTTTAATTAGTGTGTACAACTTTGAAGTAGTTTACTTGCCTGACTACAGAAACTGCTGGGCCTTGGCCAATTAATCCCATGGATGAAAACAGTCCTCCAGCAAACTTTTTTGCCACTTTCTCTTGCTGAGCTTTCTGCCCCTCTCCCTAATAACAATAGCATCTATTCCTCAGAGGGAGGAGGTGGATAAAACCAGAAAAGCCAGCACCCAACTAATTTTAGCCAGTATGAAAGGAGACTCCATGCCAGAGGAACATGTGGCATTTTTAGTTCACCTTAAACTTTCCCCTTGGCATTTCAAGCCCTATTAATAAACAAAACAAACTGCTTTCAGAAAACAGATGAGTAAACATCTTTGATGTCTGTACTCTATTACTGATTCACCTTCCTTCCTTTCACCCACCACCCCGGGCCTCCGGTCTATGACTCTGAATATTTTTACCATTAAGGCAACAGCACTGGGACATGTTGTGGTAAATATCCAAAAACAAAACATGTGGCAAGGTCAAATAGCGTTTCCTCAGCAGCACGGGACCTCACCGTTCACTCTCTCCTCGGAACAAAACCCCCTGTATCGTAGTGCTGAGGAAAAGAGCAGGGGAGAGGGAGAGCCAGGCTGGCACCAGAAATATAATTTAGTGTGTAGGTATTTGATGTGATAAAAAACCTACCTTAATTTAAAAAAAATATATCTACGTATGTATATATGTATATATATAATAGTTTTTTGACAAGGTTGTAATTCATTGAGAGGGGCCAGGCCTACAGTTTGGGTTTGACATGTCACTCCAACCTAAACCATGACTGGTTTTACGTGATCCCCTAAGAGGGTAGCATGTTGCAGCTGGCAAAAAAATAAACAAACCTGAGCCCTGTGCTAACAGATTTTTTTTCTTCTTCTTCTTTTTGATTTATGCCACGAGCAAAGGCAAAAAAACAGTGACATACTTGTGAGTCACGATTTCATTTGGCCCCTCCATGCTTGCAGCAACAGTGTCCTGCTGAAGGGACGGACAGTGCAGAATATATTTTGGGGAGGCCTGCAACAGGCAGGATGGGGAAGCAGAGGAAAGGGAGATGAGGTTTTATTTTGTGACAGCATCTCACATGCACATGTTTTTTTTTTTTTTGTTTTTTTTTAACACTTCCCAGGGAAATCTGACAAGCTGCTGAAGAGAACCTGGCACGATTCCTGTGCAGTGGTCAAGCAGCATTTGTGGGTATCCTTCATTAAAATCAGGGTTTTGTTTCAAAACTTCTCCCTTGTTCTGAAGAATCAAAATACCAAAGTCTTTCCTCTATAATACAGTATTTTCTGCTCTTGGCTACCTGAGAGGGCTCTTTTCAGTTACAGTCGTCAGAAACAAACAGATTTAGACCTTTCTCCATCTTCACTCGGTGCTGCAAAGGTGGCCTTAAGAGAACACGGTCAGCTAAAAGCAGAGTCTGGGGAGCCTGGAAACTCCTGGCCCTGCAGGACACTGCCTCAGACAGAGTGTTAAGAATATGAAAAGGACGGTATTTCTGAAAATGATAATTAGCCTTAATTTTGTAGTCTTCCTAATTTGCAGATGCTATTTTTTTTATGCACATACTTTATTTGCTCCTGTTTAGCTCTCCTACTCCTCTTCTGTTTTGAGCTGTGTAAGGAGGCTCCATTTAGAGGGGAAAAAATAAAAAGAGTAGGAAAGGTCCAAGTCCTTAAGGGCTAACAGCACAAGTATCCGAAATTCTCTAAGCCTTAGCAAAGACCAGAACAGGCACTGTTTCCAAAACATCAGCCAAGAAGCATGGCCCACTTGAACTCAATTAATAGATTAAATATCTATATATGCCTCCCAGACATATTTTGTGCTAGCATGACTGAATACACTGCAGAGAAGTTAGCAGTGATAGGGAGAAAATATTAAATCAAGTCAAATGCACCTCTCCCAACCAAAGCAAGCTGCCTGCCCAGTCTGTGTGCAGCCCATACACGGACCCCTCTGCCCCTGCTCCCAGGACAGCCGCTGGGGCTCTCTCTTTTATAACTGGTCCATGGGAACTTACTTAATTCCCTGCCACTGACCCTGCCCTGTCTCTGCACAAATCCCTGCACTGCAGGCACAGCTCTGTGGTTTCTCCTATTGTTCTCAGTTTGTTTTTCTTTCCAGCAGAAGCATAAAGCTCCAGTGTTGGATTTGCAAGTATAGATGACAAATACAGAGCATCAGACTAGCATGGTACTTTTCACCTTGGACATGTTAAATGTTTTAGCTGGATGCCTATGGAAGATTCTAGCAAATGCAATTAAACAGGGAATTAGATAGTGGAGATGGCCCCCAAATGCTACAATGAGCATCCCCACCCTTTTTCAGGCATCAGAAAAAATGAGGAGGAAAGGAGAGGGTGAGATGTTGAAAAGTAACTTCCATTAATCCCTCTGCACACCAAGTTACTTGTTTACTACTATGAGAATTTTAACATCCAAATCTCTGCTTCCAGGATCCAGAAACTCAGTCCTAGAAGCACACGGGAGCATTACATGCTCTGGTCCATAAAGTTAAACACATGCTCACAAGCTCCAGGTCTGAAATCTGGTATCATGCTGTATCCTTCCTAAAGCAGAACCCCAAATAAATAACTGGGCTGAAAATTTTCCACAACAACATTCAAATACAAATGTCTGTGGCACAACAAAGAAAAAGTATGTTGGTGTTACAGTTTTCACAGTGAAAGATAGAAATTAGTCAATAGCCTTCGGAGCCTTAAGTGGGAGGATTTTCTTTTTACAGTTTATTGCCATACCAACACAGTACAACCCTGCACATAAGTTTTTAAAATTTTTTCCCCCTAGCACTTTTGTCCTTCCTGCAGACATAAGCACTGATTTACAGAACAGCAGCAGCAGCTTGGGTGCATGTGCCTAAGCTTTATATAATATAAGTCCAATATAACAGTGTGTCAAATGTTTGCTTTGGCGATCCCAATTCTTCAAATCCCCTTTTTACACTAATATTTAAAATGGGAAAAGGCTTTAAAAGAATGGGTGCGAATTACAGGTTCAAAGGTTTTATTAGGCTTCCAGCTGAGCATTGCTTATGCTAAGAATGGGGATTTGAAAAAAAAAAAAGTGTTTAGGCAGTTTATTGGGGTTTATTTTCTCTAAGAAGCTGCAACTGCAATCCTATGGGAGTGGGACAAACAGCAGGAGGGGTGGGAGAAACAAATTATCTTTTTCCTCATGTAAATCCTGTAACTGTGCTTACTTACAGATCATAAAGACTGTTCTCTAAAGTATCCCAATTATGAAAGCTAAGGAAAATTCAGATCAGCAGAAATGAGATGGACTTCCCAACAGTAACAGCCGCCACTAAAAATACTCCATTTTTAAAATAAAATATTTAGGAAATTCTGGCCAAACATTTGTTGAAAACTCACAGTTTATAAAATTTCACCCAGCTCAGCTGTTAAACTCAGGGAGATGGGAGGACAAAGTCTATGCATGTAGATGGCTAAAGAGGCAGAATTAGCCTGCCTGGATTTTGAGCTATTCACACAAGCACGTTTTGCAGTGTTACTGTGACACTTTCCCTGAATTCAGTTACCTTATCTTGTTAAAGGGTTTAGCAGCTCAGGAAGAGCTCTGTGCTTGTGCAGCGGTGTTGGCTCTCCTCAAGCTGCTGTGAAGCACAGGCAGGGCATAATGTGCTCCTACCTGTCTCTGTGTGGTACAGAGAGCAGCATATATGGTCTAGTACACTAGAAGCACTATCTGGCTCTCATTACCTTACCAGTTCTTTTCCAAACCCATGGGATTCAGCACACACAATACAAATCCATCTCACTGCTACTGAACTCAGATCTGAGCTTCTTCCTCGTTTTCCCTGGACAGTCAAGTCAGAGCAAAGAGAAAACACACAGCCAAGCTCTCCTGCAGAAGCACAGGCAGAAACACTACTATTTGTGGGGTGGGGGAATAAAAAGACCCATTATCTCCCCTAGCACGGAGCTTTGCTGTGCTTTGGACACAGGCACAGTTAAGTGTATCAAATAGCTTTTCATCTGGAGTCTAAGTCTGGAAGCGCCAAAAGGAATTGCAGTGCTGTAATCATCCACCCTCACGTGCCAAGAAGCTTTCATTCCTCAATCCATGCCAAAGAAGCCCTCTTTGGTGGATAATAACGACCTGGAGATCGTGGACTTTAAAACTTTCAGTAAAGAAAGTGAGTTAATCAAGGGGAAAAAAGGAGGTTAACACAGTCATGTTTCACTACAGGATTATAGTGTCAAACCACAGGAAGCTGTCTCTGGTGGTTTGCTGATCTCTGTGGTCTGACTGACTGAAATTATTACACACAGTAACTTCATTGCTGGCAGTATTATCATGTGTCTTTCTCCCTACCTGTAACCCTAAGGACTAGTCTTAGGCCCTGATCCTGCAGTGTCTGGAACAGATCTAACCCTGCTACCAGTGGAGTCAATAGTGAAATTTCCTTTTACTCAGTGATGGAGAATCGGTCTCCACACCAAGGGATTAGCACTGCTGGTTTCACTGGAGTTATGTACTGAATTGCAGTGAGTGCTGCGTGCTTGCAATGACCAGACCTTAGTTTAGTTACCATTACTTTTTGCTCTAGGATGCAAGTTAGTATGGATAATGAAATAGCTTATCTGGTGCAAATGAGCCAAAAAAAAAGATTTCAGGTTGTGGAAAACCAAAATCTACTACATTGTTCAAATACTAAATAGCAGACTTCTTTAATAATCCCTAGCTTTACCACAGCACTTTTCAATGCTGATTCTTTACAAAGGAGTTCATTCCCATTAATCCATTTTGCAGATAGTGAAACCAAGCCACATGAAAGAGGTACAAAGATCACAGTCAGCAGAAACAGGGCACACTGAGCTAGTCAATGAAGGAAGAAGACAACTTGAAGAGAAAATTACACATATTCTTAAAATTCAACAAACACTTCTTAATTATTTAAGGCACTGTTTTCTTAACGAGGATTAGAAATGATATTCCAAATACATGACTTTCACATGATGATACCTTTTGAAATGAAGGGTTTCTGTTGCTGCTAAAGTAGGACTTTCAAGTATTTTGTCTATCATTTTTAAAAGAGAAAAAAAAAAACAAGCCTGAAAGAACAAAGACGACACTTCAAAGCTTTCAGCGGAGAAGGAAGTGCCTTCTAGCAAAAATCATACACTTTTGTCAATGAAACCTTTGTCAGACAGTTCCTCTCCTGTCTTGGCCGCTGTATGGTTAAAGATATAAAAGCAACTGAAGACAGAAGAGAAAGAGAATCCCTGAGAGAAGGAAAAAAGTCATGTCCCAGCGAAGTACTCTCTTTGCCCTCGGTGTTTACCTGACATACTGTTATTGATAGCTCTTTTTCCAACTCCCCTGACTAAGGGAGCACATATACCTTCTATCGCATTGAAGTTGATTTAAACCACCCTCACAATTTGTGAGGCTGTTTTTCACTTAGATACGGAAGTTCTTGAGAGGATTTTGAAGCAATACAGTCTGGTAGTTAGAACCAAGGCCATTCTAAAAATAATTGCATTTCCTCAGGCCATCCATAATTTTTCATTCCTAAAAATACCAGGAAACTCTGCAGATCTGGTAGGGAGAAGCCAGCTAAATTCTGTGGGCTTTGAGTCACTTCAAAGCATTGGTGTGAGTTCATTCCCTTTTGACTCCCAGGTTCTCAAGACTTACCACGGACAACTGAGATTTCTCTTCCCAGCCATTTGAAGGGCCATGTGGATTTTTCTGGGAAAAAACTCTCAATTTTCTCAGGTACTAAGATGATTTTGGGACCTCTATGTTATAGCATTTATTAAAAATATGTTATCAAATAGAATAAAGTCCTTCTGTGCAGTTGTCCTGTACCACTTACTATACAACAAGAGTTTACATACCTCTTTAGTGCTCTTTTTCAGAAGTAAGATGTGAAGAACCAGCCAATTAGTCACATTGGCAGTGGTTACCTTTTCCTGGAGTAATGCAGCAACACGTTACTTAAGATTTGGTTGGCTCTGACATTATTCAGTTAAGTTTCTTCTGATAGCTATTATCCCTAACAAGTTTCCCTTCAATAACAAGTTGCTTTTGACCTCAACACACCTGGAGACTTCACCCTTACATTTCACCTCTGACCTAGCCCAATATAGTTGACATTTTGCAATTATCAGCAATTTGTTAGCTTTATTTTTGTTAGCACCCAATTATGCAAATAATAGACCTATAATAGAACTGCTCCTATTGGGCTGCAAATCTGTGGAGAAGTGTTTCATGCATGAATGACTGTGGTATCCTGGCTCTACTTTGTTGGAGCAGAAAAATGAGAAATCAGAGAAAATTTATCCCATGGATTCTTTTTTGGGGTGGTAGAGACTTCATGCTTTTTCATTAACACTTGTGAGAACCTACAGTTTAGATGAAGCCTCATTTTATGAGCAAGGACTTCTTAATATTTAGCTTTTCCATACTCACATGCTTACTACCTCAGCTATACACCCTTAACATTTCTCCAGTAAAATTGGAGTGCCAAGATCTGAGATACAATCAAATGACAACAAATAAAACATTTTCTAAAACCAAAGAGAATTAACTTGATTTGGAGCGTGTTGAACACATGGAAGATGAAATCCCAAATTTCTTAATGTAGACACTGAGCTGTCACAGGGGATTGGAAGATTCAAAGCAGAGCTGTACCCTGGACAAGTTTACACTGGCTCTTGTTAATCTTGAATACACTGTTTTGTCTTTACACTATAGGCTCTCTGCAGCTTACTATACTGAAAATAGACCAGATGATCCTGTCACCTCCTGCCCTCTATATATCAAAAGGGTTTTTAACCCACAGCATTTCACAAGCACCTGCAATGTATATAATAAACACTTAAAACCAGTACACTGGGCTCCATTTCCCTACCTTTTCTTCACCAACAGCAGCAGTCAGCTCTATTTGATGTGTCAACTTCACCATCCTCCCGACAGCAAACAAGTCCTTTCCCAGTTTTCTGACCTCATCCACTTCCCCGTCAAAAGATTAAGGCACACTTTCAAATGCTTGGGGCTATTTTTAGACTGCACTAGAGACATGTGGGGAGGAAAGTAGCTGGTGTACTTTCTTCATAATTTAATAATCTCAGTGTCTAGAAAAACCACTCTGGTTTGAATGTCACTTCACATAATTACCTTGGGTACAGCTGGATTAGCTGCATCAGTCTGAGATGTCATTGTCCAAATCGCATCCCGCTGGAAAGGGACTCGGTGACTCTTGTGGCTGAGAATGTGCAGCCACAGGATGCAGGACGTGGGCTCTTATCTTTGCCATTGGGAGACGCTCTCTTTCAAGTGTCCCCAAAACAGAAACAGAAGCCCTGGAATAAGAAAAAATGCAATTGCTCTGTTGAAATCTGACAAGGCCAAGAGTATTGTGCTGTGGGCTGAGACCCTGAGTAAGCTCTGAACAGGGTGGAAGTTCCTCTGTGGTGCCTGGACCCAAATTTACATGGCAAGGTGTCTGCTGAAGAGCAAACTGAGACCCAGCTCCACTGCAGACCTGTCTCTACCCAGTCCAGACAGCTAGCTGACCCAATCTTCACTAAAATGAAGTATTCTTTACTATGTCCCACTGCAAGGGATTCTGGAACAAAATAGTCCCTGAAGCCACATAGGTTATGCCCAAAAGACAAAATTCAATATATATGTCACAGGCATACAGCACCAATGACCATAAACAGTCATTTCTAGAGCATTTTATTACTGCCTTTTTCATATTTGGATAGCAGAGAGGAAAGGCAAAGGAGTATCAGATAGCCAGGACTTAGCATCTGAATGTTGCAGGTATAAAAAGCCATGCACATACCTTGTCTGCTCCGTGCACAAGAACAGCCCTTGCAAATCCTCTATCAGAGCTTTTTTTTTTTCCCCCCACAATACTGCCAAGTCCCTGTGCAAATGGCTAAGCCACAAGTGCACTGTGCTGTTGTGATAACAGTGCAAATAAGTAAATATACATGCCTGTCTCTGTCACTGTATTTTCTATTGAAAAATAGGGTCCATAATATGGTGGCATACAGACCTGATGCCACCCTCCTCCCTAGGAACTCAGTAAGAACCTATATTTTTATCAGGTTCCATGTGAAAGTGCAACACTAGTTACCAGGCAGTGAGGGATAGGAAGATAATAACAATTTTTACAGAGAAAATCCTAGCTAAAAAAAAAAATCACAGAAAATCAAAGTAGCATAATAAAGGCATCATTTTTTTTTTTTTTCTTTTACAGAAAGAAACCAGATTAAAATACAAAGTCAGAAGAAGGCAATTCATGATTACCCCTCCTAGGATCACCCTTGCTGTTCTGCCCAGTTTGCCAAACATTAAATTTGCTTCCAGCCATGCTTGGCATCTCTGCATCATGTATATGTACATTTGAATGCATAATGGTTATTGCATGTCACGCTTACAGGCATTTGGCCTAAGTAGCAGTCTCTTTTCCAATCTATAAGTACATGAAACAGAAGACTAAGAAAAATCTGAGACATTTTGGAAACTGATGATGTCTTGAATGAGCTTCTGGAATAAAACTGGAGCCCCTCCCCACCCAGAGCAGTATTTTTAGGAAGTCGATTGAGAAATGTTTTCCTTGCTCCATTTCCATGTTTACTGGGATACAGCATTGTTACACTGGATTGCATCAGAAAACATGGAAACAGCTCTACAAATTGATCCGACCACAAGGTCTCCGGGGAATTTGCTCCTTGTCTCCAAGGAGTTTACTCAGCATAAACAGTTTCAAATAAATACAAGGCAGGCCTGAGAGAGTGTTTCTCAGCTAAGCGTCATAAACATTAGAATATACATGCATCTGTCAGGTAACTTGGATGGATTTTATGATGGCAAAATTCTCTAAAGGCACTCACTATAGAAATTAGAGAATAATTTTCCTACCTTCCAAACTTGCTGAGGGTGCACGCAATTCCTTCATCCAAGTCATCAATAAGGATATTAAAGAGGGTGACCCCTGGGGGCTGGCAGCCAGCTGGATTTCACTCCGTTCACCACCACTCTCCATGCCTGTGTCAGAGACCTTGCTGAAATCCAGGTAGACACCATCAACAGGCCTTCCCTCATCCCCCAGGTGGGCCACACAGTCGTAGAAGGAGATGATGTTGGTCAGGCAGCCTTTTATGAATCCATGCTGACCGGGTGAGACCCCCCCCAGCTGTCCCGCATATGCTGTGTGATCACAACCACCTGTTCCATCACCATTCCTGGCACCAAGGTCAGGCTGACAGGCCTGTAGTTCCCCGGGTCCTCTTTATGACCCTTCTTCTAGATGGGTGCCATATCAGCAAGTCTCCAGTCACCTGGGACCTCTCCAGATGACCATGACCGCTGATAGATGATGGAAAGAAGCCCAGCAAACACATCCGAGGATAAGTGTTCTGGCTGGCAAAGACCAAAGCAAAGAAGATGTCCAGAGCCCCAGCCTTTTCCTTATCCTCAGTAGTCATGTTCCCCACTGCGTTCTGGAAAGGATGGAGATTCTTCTCCTCCCTCCTCTTGTCATTAATATATTTATATAATATATCTTCAACCATAGTGGTCAGGTTGAGCTCGTGTTGGGCTTTGGCCTTCCTAATTTTTTCTCTGCATATGCTGGCAACTTCCTTGTTCTCTCCCCGAGTTGTCTGCCCCTTCTTCCCCCATATATAAACTCTCTTTTTCTCCCAGACACTCAGCAGAAGTTCCCAGTTCAGACACACTGGTACCTTCTTCCACACCAGCTCATCTTACAGCACACAGTAAAGAATCACAGGTAGTTGATTAACATGATAATGAGAAATAAATTTCTAGTTTGAAATTTGGAACTCTTCAATAGAAATTCCAAAAATGTGCACGCATTGATTTTCAGAAATATGATTTGCCTTTTTATGTAATCAATTAGAAACCAATTCAGCTTCCTGGGGAAATGGTTGTCTTAGTCAAAAGATCATTTTTGTAAAACAGGAAAACTGTTCCCAGGCACAGCATATCCCCTAATTCCTACCCAACTCTTTCTGTCTCGTATCTTGTCTTCCCTGTAGGTTTTAATTCCTTAGTACAAGAGCTGGCTGAAAATGTAATTTTCTTTCCAGAAAAAAGTAAATATTGCTTTCATTGTGAAATAATGATATAGATTAAACTGACAGAGACAAAAATGAAAGTTAAATGGCAACAACAAACCCAATATAAACAGATTTGTGTGGAGGGATTTCCAAGCACTTTTAAGTTTTTCTTTTTCTTTTTCCTTTTCTTTTTTTTTTTTCATTTTCTTTTTTTTTTCTTTTTTTCCTTTTCTTTTTTTTTCTTGTTCTTTTTCTTTTCTTTTTTTTTTTTCCTTTTCTTTTTTTTTCTTTTTCTTTTCTTTCCTTTTTTTTTTTAATGTTAAGGATTTATTTGATTTCAGTTTTTATCTTCAATAAAGAAAAAAATAAAAACACAAAACATTATGAGGCTCCAAGGTGAGCAGCCAGGAAGCTGTCATTTTGATTTTCCCACTGGCAAACTGGTGCTTTTTTTTTTTTTTTTTTTTTTTTTCTGGCAAAATTGTACCCTTCTCTGGGAGAAATTTTGATTTTGCAAAGAGGCATTTTCTATCAGAGAATCATTCCGATGGAAAATTGCCCAGCAGACCTGTTCAGTGCACGTGGTAGGCTGAAATAAGCAGCCCCAGGTTTTCAGGCAGGCTTGCTGTAGGACTGCTTTTGCCATTACGGTGACTGACCAGACTTCTCCATCATACTCAAGTAAACCTGAGAACCAAGAGGCTTAGTAATAGAAGTTCATTGCCTAATAGAAGAGGAAATTTGGTCTTCATTCTGCAGTCCATTAGATTTAAAACTGCAAAAAAAAGTGCTTCATTCGGAGCTAGGCTGGACCACACAGTAACGAGCAGGGTAACAGCACCTGCTTGTTACTGCTTTGTAACTGAGGCCCCGAATCCACTCAACTCAACTGCTTGGAACTGAGTAAATGTCCTTATCAGCACCCTCCCCGCTGGCAGCCTGAGATCAAGTGTCAGGGCCCAGGCTCTGCGGGTGCGAGGAGCCCCGAGGAGCCCTGTTGGAAGCAGTTGGCTGGTCCCATGGCAGCCAAGCCTGTTCCCAGTTTCCCCATTAGAACGACGTCTGAGCAGGCACAGCCTTTGGCAGCGCGTTTCGATTGTTCCTAGAGGCTGGCACACAGGGATAATTAGAGAATATTCTGCGCGTATAAAAAGAACTTGTTCCCTCCTCCACCCTGTACGTGGCAGGCTGTCTGCAGAGACACCGAGATTAACTTTTGCACCTGAATTAAAACTGTTTGGCTACTCCCTTTCCCTCCCCCTAGCTCCCCTCCACCCCTTCTGCTGTCCTTACTTTAATCTACAAACCAGTAATGGGTCTGCAGGCGTCCTGCCAGGGTACAGCTCGCATTCACCTGGCAAATGCCAGGATCCTTCTCCTGGCTCCAGTCGTGAACCACGACTAAAACAAGGAGCCAGGAGGTCAGTTTTGAGCCAAGGCATCCGCCCAGTGTGTTCAGACTTTATAGGAACAAAATTTATGGGAACTAAAGACTTCCATCACTCTCTTGCTCTTTCTCTTGCTCCGGAAGACGTTTTCATCGCCCTTGATATCAGAGAGGAAATGTTTTAAAAGACTGAAATTACAAATATTGATAGTCTTACTATTTTTGCTAAATAAATAAAATAGCAATTGCATGGGAAAATAGACCGAGGCTACGTGCATTTTAATGCATTAATGACAATTTTGACTTCTGGTCTAAAAGCTCAGTGAGATGTGCTAAGAGGGACTTCAAAACACAGACGCTCCGGGGCTCTCAAATAAAGCAACAAGCCATCCATCAATTCATTCCCCTTAATTGTCTTTCCTGCAATGAACCAATCACATTTTAATTGTCCACTTTGCACGTTTCACTGAGAAACCAGGTAGTTGTTAGTCACATACTAAGTGCTTCTTCAAATCCAACATAAACCCACCAGCAAGCACTGCCGGCAGCTCGTGTGGGAGGAATACTTTTTCTCAGCCGTCTGTGCAGTTATAAATTTAATCCTCTGCTGGAGCCAACAGTGCTGTCAGCACTGCCTGTCAGCCACAGCTCCCCCTCCAAACTGGCTCCTTCCATCCAGTGGTCCACCACGGGTCTGTTCCTTCCCTTCCCTTCCCTTCCCTTCCCTTCCCTTCCCTTCCCTTCCCTTCCCTTCCCTTCCCTTCCCTTCCCTTCCCTTCCCTTCCCTTCCCTTCCCTTCCCTTCCCTTCCCTTCCCTTCCTTCCCTTCCCTTCCCTTCCCTTCCCTTCCCTTCCCTTCCCTTCCCTTCCCTCTTTTTTTTTTTCTTTTTTTTTCTTTTCCTTTTCTTTTTTTTTCTTCTTTTCTTTTTTCTTCTTTTTTTTTCCCCCCCCCCCGAGTATTATTGATTTTAGTGCCAGGGTAAGCTGTCCCCTTGTACATCATTACAACTCTGAGCTCTTACAAACTGAATTCTATAATTCAGTTCAAAGTTTGGGTGCATTTGTATTAAACCATCCTCTCTGTGGGGTTTGCTGCCCGTAGTATTCGCAGTGAAGAACTAACGTCACCCATCTCTTGAAACTCTTTTCATTGCCTTGTTGTGTATCTCACTCTGAAGCCGCCACACCCACGGCGAGGGGATGAGGGGAGGCAGGAAGATGTTGGGGGCGCGCAAGTGACTCACTGTGTGTCAGGCTGCCAGATCTGAGCACAGAAGGTGTCAGACATCACCTAATGGTGGAAATTAGGAAACCAAAACAAGATAAGCGCAAAGGGACTTCCAAACTATGCACGCTGCAACAGCAGAGAAGTCCAAAATTAAGATGATATAAGGACCCAAAATTAAATAAAATTAAACTTGACAATGTAAAGCAGCCTAGCAGAGCAAGACAGAACTACCAGGAACCACCCCGAAGTTCTGTGCTGCCCAGTTAATTTTGCTGCTGGGACTTTTCCCAGTTCCTTTCCATACTGACATGGACCGATTGCTCCTTATCTGGCTGGCAGTTTGTTTTACCCACTTTGTAAAAGAGCTGTAGAGGAGAGGAAAGACGTGTTGGCTATTTAAAGCCTCTGAAAGTCACAGCTGTCAGTCTGCAGCACTGCTGCTGCCACAGAAAGGGGAAGATAGGACCACAGGGGAGATGAATGTTGACTTCACGAAGAAAGTATGTCAATATAAGATGCCAAATCCACGCTTCTGACCACTTGTGGTCATTCAAGATCCCAGGGCACATTTTGCAAGAGTATGGGTGTTAGCCCTGGTATACTGGCCAAATCCAATCTTGGCTATTTATATTCAGCCTCCCTAAAATACCGCTTGGAGTTTCAACTGGAAAAGTTAATTTTGCTTTTCTGTCTGGAACTGTGCGATGATGCAGGCCCACCAGTGGCATGCGGTACGCCAGCGGAACGGTGTCCCCGTGGCTGGTGAGCCCTGGGAAGATAGAGCTTCATTTATCATCGTGCATCAGCACTTTAACACCCACAGACTGAGTAAAAGCTGCTATGGGACTTAAACATTTTTTAGAAGTGCCTGATACCGGTTCCAGACTACTTCCAGGAAGCCCAAAATGTGTTAAATGCGCTTAATAGCCAAGGCTCATGGACTTCAGTGTGTTTTGAGATACTGCCATAGAGACCTGGAGTTCTAGATTCAACCTCTGCATTCCTGTGTTCTGCTCTTGTGGGTGCTGATCAGCTGGGCTGCATGATCAGAAACCCAAGCGTGAGCAATGTTAATTCATTTGCTCTTGCCTGGTCACCTGTCATGCATTTTGATCAGAACCAGAGCATTTTGACAGAGGACAAGAACATTTGTCAAAAATGAAAGGTTAACTGTAGTGTCCACTGATTTTTTCCTGTTCCACGGAGCCTCAGTGGCAAAATAAACCAGTAAAAAACAAACCAGGGGGCTCAAAGTGCAGGTAAATCCTGGGAAGCAATTGTCAGCTTCTAAGATTTTTTACTGGGTTTCGCACAGCGAAGTGAACACTCAGCATTGAGCTTTTGCCACCATTAAAGTTTTCAGTGGTGTAAAATTTAATACTGTATCACAGGGATCGGAATGATGGGCAAAATATATATTTTCTTTAACTTTAAGAAACAATAAATAGGTAAAACAGTTAAAAATGAAAGCTATTCAACTAACCAAAGGCTGCAGCTGACTGTAGCCAAGCTAACTCTGGGACATTGTATAATTCCACT